TTGTCGGGAACTGTTTCTATCATAATCACATTTGGGCTTACCTGTAAGTGACTGCATAACATACTATTGGCTGTTGAATTTAGGTGTATGCGTTGACGAAGGTGAAATATACTTCTTGAATCGCTACGAAGCCAGACGAAGAAGGTCGGCTTCACGATCATCAAAACGCGCAGGTGCACGAGGTTTAGCCTTAGACTGCGGGAACAGCTGCTATTTTAGGTTGCATCGTAACTCAAGCAAAGAAAATGATCCTGAATTACGGATTCATCTGTTTCGGTGGCGACAATTTCCCGTTACACATAAAAAGTGAATTTATTTCTGTTTTCTTTATACTGCAACTAAGGGGCACAAAAGTATAACTGTGATTTAAAATAAAGTTGGAGCAGTGGTGCTTGTTAGTGTTGCTTTTGTCGTTACTACTACTGTTATAGTGACAGTATGGTCGTAGCGGTCTGGCAGTACATTGAAACTTGGTGCCTAAATTGTACTTAAAACTTTTGTTTTCTTTTCCTGATAATTGACTATTGTAGTTAGATGGTTTATACTCCCGGTGATTCATTTAGGCTTCTACGAAAGTATATTAGTAGAGAGATTCGTCCGGTAGTACAGTATGTTGATTCAAATAAAACAATGCGTACCCGTTTGTCGCGTGTTGCGCCAAGTTGCATCTACAGTGCACATGTTAAGGGAACTACGGAATCATCAATTGTCAATTTATGCGATAATCATGGCGGCCTGGTAAATAAGTTTGATTGTAGAGATCAACTTTGAATTGCTGGTTACTGGGTTGAAATGTCGAAATAAAAGAATTAATGACTATAATATTTATAACAGCTATTATTTCTTAGTTTGGTACACTGGTGCTTCCGGATGGTACCTACATTATTGAGCCAGTGGCTAGCCGTACAGTACGTGGCGAACAGTCTACACGGAAAGCTCATCTTGTATACAAAGCCCGATCTCTTTCGTTTCAAAACTATGATTATTCTACACCAAAATCATCTGGAGAAGTGTTCGATGGAACTATATTGCCTACAGACGTGAACATGAGTGTCACACCAGTTATCTTATCAAATGATACATTATCTTCATCGTTGTCGTCATTGTCATTATCTTCAAAAAATACATTTGATATTAACGGTTAGTACTTTTTTTTCCTAATACTGTAGTTTTATTACTGGGAAATACTTTTATTATTTTTGTTTTGTTGGCTATGTTGTATAAAGTATATTGTTAACACTAACTGTTAGTTGGTTTTTGATAATTTCTTTTTTTTTATAACTTACTTTATTGGCATCAACAGCAATAAAAGTTGCGGTTAATTTTAGGAAAAAAAAATGTTTTTAAATTACGCATTCAAAAAAACACTTT